CATATTTTCCTAAGATGGCATCTCGACGTTTCACTATTCTGCACGAAAAGTTAAAATTGTAAAACGCTAAATTATTTTTATTTTTAGTGTTCTGTCTGACGACAGGTCCATCTGAACAGGATCCTTCCATCCTTTTCTCGGACTGGGACCTGTTCATATACGTTCTTGGCAGATGATCCAGAAGTGGTTTGCCATTGCCTTCTTCTGTGTGTGAATGGAGTAATTGTTGGGATGCCACGGAGGAAAACTCCGTGTTGCCTAGACCACGGCCTTGCCCAACACAAGTTATAAATTCGGGCGCCGCCGGGAATCGAACCCGAGACCCCAGGATTACAAGGCCAGCGTTCTAACCGCTAGACCACCGTACGCGACCAAGTGCCCCTATCGTATAACAAATCGGGTACCTCCGTATTAAAAGTCAAGTGCGTTATCGCTTAAGCTAACCCGCAAATTCCGTCGAGTTCCCTTTCGATTTAATTAAACATGTAGCAAGCCTCTCGCCTTTCCCGCTTGAAAAAAAAGTGGCTAGCTCATCAGTCGGCAGCCGTCAGACACAGGACAATGTCGTATGACTTCGCAACAGTCCCTCAACTGCCATTACATTTTAGTAATATCTGTAACGGTTAAACATAGGTTGTTATGTTAAGTACCTAATTAAGTGCAATTATTCAGTGCTCGAAACTAATTTTTAAAGTCGCGACATAACTGCAATAAGATCATAAATCGTGTGGCTTGGCAGTAGTTGCTGCTGGAAAAAGATTTATAATCTTATTAGAGTTGTATCAAGCCAGACGTTGAAAATAGTTTTGTGTGGTGAATAATTGCACTTGTTAACAACTTAACATGACGATGTTCAAGAGATGTAAAACATTACTAAACGTGACAGACTCCTTCCTGTTTTATGTGGCAACGCCGACTGAAGGAAACTCCAACTCTGTATGATTTGTTGTAATATACAAACATCGTCACTCCTTAATCCAATTCTACTAACTTCCAGGTTCAAGACCGACAACGCCAAAGCCCGCCACCGGCCACGATCCTGAGCCAACTCCATCCATTTGCCATCCTCAAAGCCCGTCTCCCCAAGATCCATCTTGATATTATCCTACCATCTCCTTCTTGGTCTGCCCAGTGGTCGTTTTCCAGAAGGATTCCCAACCAAAATCCTGTGTGCATCCCTTGCCTACCCCCCAATATCCTCACTCTGCTAGGTGACCCATCTCCGAGTTGTGCAATATTCTAAATTCCCTCTTATTTCATACTTCCTAGGTCGAACTATCATCCTGAGCTCCCTGTTTTCAAACATACGTATACTGAGTCCGGAGATCGACTTATGGTGACATCTGTAATGATGTAAATTAATGTAATGTCCGCGGAATCCAGGAAGACATCAGATCGTTGATAATGAGGACCGAAACAATTCTCAAAACTAAAAATAACATTTATAATTATTACACTAATTAATACCAATAAATTAACAATTAATTTTAAAAGCCCAGGAAACCAAATTGTGGATATTAACGATAATATCCGTTTCTAAGTTAAGGATATGACGGGTTTAGAAGTAAAGCGACCTATTTCCAAGTCTGATCATTCCTGTAACCTACCTTTTTCTTACGTCAACACGTTCCAGAGCTTTGGCATTACAACGTACAGTTTAACACAGCTGACAGAATTCTCTGCTAATGTGAAACAGAGTGAGACGAAACGTGTAGACGTAAATCAAAGTCACCTTCGTTTTCCAACGCGTCCAGAATTCTTTCTCCTGGACATTGCACAGCGACTCAACACAGTATTTATTTTTTCCTTCTAAACATAAATCCGCGTGGATCTTTTCGTGTTTGTTGACGGATTTGGTTCAACTCTCACTCTAGGGCGCGTTTTTATTGACAGTAGCTTATCCTCCAATAACATGACACTAAAACAAATCACTGTTGATCATAAGAAAGTCTTGATGAACGCCAGGACAAATCTACAGAGCTACAATTTATTAAAAGATTCGATGTGTTTTAAAAGAAATATAACAGTGAGAGAGGTGTTAAAGTCGTGACTGTTCTGCCTCCTGTAGGGAAGTAATTGAACTCAAGTTGCTTGTCATAAGAGATGTCTGTGGTAAATTTAGACTGGAGAAACATGAAGACATGGGGGAATAAGAAGGTCCATAATAACTAACAAAAAAATGTAGTGTAGTTGCGTCATATTGTGATTTATTAAATTAAAATTAAATTATTTGGTTATTCCGTCAAATCACAATGTATTTAAAATAAGATAATTAAAATAATTAAAATATCATTCTGTGTTCCATATCGAATAATCGATTTACAATTGGAACAGTTACAACATGTTTCGGTTTTATTAAACCATCATCAGGTGTAAAATTATATTAAATTTAAAACTCAATTACAATTTTTTACAATTTTTCGTAGTGTAGTCTTTTCTGGTCCCTCTTTTTAATATAATTTTACACCTGATGATGGTTTAATAAAACCGAAACATGTTGTAACTGTTCCAATTGTAAATCGATTATTCGATATGGAACACAGAATGATATTTTAATTATTTTAATTATCTTATTTTAAATACATTGTGATTTGACGGAATAACCAAATAATTAATTTTAATTTAATAAGTCACAATATGACGCAACTACACTACCTTAAAAATACTTCAGATTAAAAAGATGAGTCAACAACCACTGACGGAATAGGAGAAAATAAAAAATACACTGCCTGATTTCTATTTGGAATTACAAAGCCAAAGCGCCTATTGTAATCCATTTCAAACGAATCCAAGGCAGCTTCTAAACATGATGTTATGTATGAACCCTGCAATGTACAAAATCCGCTAATCCGTTACGACAACGCAAATAGCAATCAACTTTCACAGCCCGCTACTATTTAAAACTAACTCGAAAACGGATGACTTAAAAATCAGTAGCATCCGATGCATGATTTGAAAAAGATGACAATAATAATAATAATAATATTAACTTTAAAAAGGGCTAACTTAATATAATATGACCCATAACACTTCGGTTTCTCAACCAACACCGCCATTAACTCTTTAAACCACTAATTCCAATTAAACACATTAAATGTACGACTAACCAAATGCGTTCAGGGAAATTTGATATTTATGTTAATATTAACTTTTGATTTCCTTACTTAGTTCGCGTACTACTCGACAATGGCTATCGTACCACCAGCGGTACGCGTACCATAGGTTGAAAAACGCTGCTTTAAAACTAATTACATATTACGTACCACCACCTTGAACATTCACCAACTCTGCACTTTCTCAGAATGCTATTAATATTAATCTAAATAGCATTAACCGATCGATCCTTAAAATGTTTTCGGAATACACCAGCTTGAAGATGGCCGGGGGGGGGGGGGGGGGGGGGGGTAGTGTTTAAAAACAGCCCTTTTGTTTACAGCACAGAAAGTTCCGTACTGTATAAACAGGAAGTGATGGTTAGGTTAACACCAGTTGAGATGTAACATATTTTCATTCACACATCCGCAAAATAGTCTACTACAGGGATAAAATTTTGAAAACCTCGTAATATCGCAGACGGGCGTTTTTCCCCACATACACGTAGGCAGACCTACACTGCAACGCCATGCAGGAACAACTTAGAAAGATCACTCAGATGCCCAGACGACCTCGGGAACACGATCTGTCACAACCGGTGCTTTCATCCATCGCTCAATATTCTAAAACAAGACTATTGCGTTACAAAAGCTCACTCTGCTCCTGTCTTCAAGTGAAAATGCCTATTCTGTTCAGTCCTGACTGAAGGGACTAATTATTTCCTTTAATACGTCGAAGGACTATATTACGATTAGGGGGCAACGTTCCCGAACGATCAAAAAATTAATTAAAATTTAAATCAGTAATTTAATCCCTAATTCGTAAATTCAGGGACCGACTATTATTGAAACGATATGGAAGTGTCTCGCTTTGACTCCAAATGCGTATATTTCCTGAATCCCCTTTGCAAAATAAATGTTATTTTAATCATGAATAAAATGAGATAGTATAGCTGCGTCATATTGTGATATTAATTAAAATAATTATTATATTTGTTTACCGTCAAATCACAATAAAATAGTAAGTTAAGATAATTAAAATGATTAAAAATATCATCTTATGTTCCATATCGAGCATTCGATTTACATCGGAACATTCACAACATGTTTCGGTTTATCAAACCGTCATCAGGTGTAAATTATAAACTTTTAAAACTCAAATTACAATCATTTATATATCAATAACACCACCTCAACAATAATTTTATATTAATAATATCTAGACACAACTTCCATAAAATATACTGAAAAAAGATGATAAAATTATAAAATTGTAAAAACTATAAATAATTGTAAATTGAGTTTAAAACTTTATAATTTAAACCTGATGACGGTTTGATAAACCGAAACATGTTGTGAATGTTCCGATGTAAATCGAATGCTCGATATGGAACATAAGATAATATTTTTAATCATTTTAATTATCTTATCTTACTATTTTATTGTGATTTGACGGTAAACAAATATAATAATTATTTCATGAATAAAAATATATTTTTCAGCCTTGAATAAACGTGGTCTCTGCGTGACCATAGCTAACTATCACCAAAGGTCCCACATCCTCCCACCAACCTCGACTAAATGATGTTTCACGGTATAGAACAATTACCTGCCTGCAATATGAGCTCGTTACATTTTAATTCCTGCTTTCCTGGTTCTAATCTAGTGGCAAATGTTGTCATCAATAAGATTAAGCCAATTACATGTATCGTGGCATCTCAGTTCTGTTTTAAGAAAACAGACGAGAAGCCAGATTTCAACACGTCTGACGGGCTGAGAGATGGTGCCAGGCTGTCAGGATTATTTTCACAAACTAACTACATTTCAAACATTCCTATTACCTTTTAAATGAACACACGTTTTGCTATAGGGCTAAGTTCCAATACAAACCTTTGCACTAAAGGATATTCAACCATGGCTTGGATGCCGTTCTTCTTAAAAATCACAATGCGCAACACCTGGCCACTTGGCGAACAGATCGTATGTAACACTTCCTGAAACAAGAGACAAAATAACACTTAGGGTTAGAAATTCTATTACTACACCTAGCGGAACAAAATCTATCAGGGGACATACACAAAACCATAAACATTTATTTAGGTACGTGATTTCACTGCGTGACCTTTAATATAAATCAAACCTAAGGCAAATATAAATGTATACACAGAATTTATGTATATCGACCATATCGATTTCGATCAAAATCGAAACGCACTTGAGAATGATAATTGACATTTGTAAAACTTAGGGAAATCGAGGGCTCCTCAGATTCTACTCTGAGCTACACTCGATTCGAGATTTGCCTTCGACTGTATAGATTTTATAGAACCTCATTAAGACAGAACATAAGACCATGTTAAGCCCGCTACCATCACAGAACACATACAAATCTCGGCGAACACTCACGACCTAGGCGGGAATCGAATCATAGATTTCTTTAGTTTATAATATTTCTACACTTGAGAATAATATTACAAAATATTACGTATCAGAGAATATGACAATTTGAAAAAACAGCTGTTGTGATTCAGATTAAACTTTATTTTGCTATTAAAACACCACAGGCAGACACCATGGTTACAAATATAACAAAAACACTCATAAAACACACAACTGTAAAAAAAACATGACATTCTGTTTCCATATTCATTACACAAACAGTTATTATCCCTTCATATGAACAATGTTATCGTCCCTTTTAATTTGATTTTTCTATAAACTGAGTCCACATCCTCGATGAACGTGTCAGATTTAACGCAAAAAAAAAAAAATTGTTTTCAATCTCGCTATCAAGATCTTGTTGGAAGTGTTCTTAGCCAACGAAACCTCGCATCTTGTACCTAAACAGAGCGTTTAATACACTTTAGACGCAATAACGCAGTACGAAATGACCTGCTATGCATCCGTTTATTGAGCATTAACGTTCTCCCATTATTTATCGTCATGTTTGCTTTCGTTATCTGCTTCATAGCTCCTTGCTGTGTCCATTAGAAGTGACAGCTGAGGTGTTGAACAAAGTGGCCGTAATCTGGTAACACGCAGACTAAATGAACATGTTGCTTGTGATGGCTAAGTGTTTTGAATCGTCTGTCTTCCTTCAGCTTAAATCTTTCACAGGGGAACGCTGTCTTGGCTGGCAGTGCTATTTAAAACATCTTAAACTGAGCTCACTCTTGGAGCAGTAGTGGCCTACTGCACATACGGAACTCAAGAGCGGATAGTCCTGAACCCAAAACTCTTAAAATTCCCGGTGCATCATCATTAGCCTACAACTGAAAATGCACATTTGAAAGGGATTCGCAAAATTAAACTGGCCTCGACGGTTGAGACACAAACTAGTTTTGCTCAACCTGCCAATAACTAACAGAAAGGTTCACCAATGATAACCAATGGCACAATCTACACTGAGTTCAGGCAATTTCGCATCCTTACTAACCACCTGAGCTATGACACAGCCCCCATTGCGGTGCCCGAATTTATAACTTGTGTTGGGCCAGGCCGTGGTCTAGGCAACCCGGAGTTTTCCTCCGTGGCATCCCAATAATTACTCCATTCACACACAGAAGAAGGGAATGGCAAACCACTTCTGGATCATCTGCCAAGAACGTATATGAACAGGTCCCAGTCCGAGAAAAGGATGGAAGGATCCTGTTCATATGGACCTGTCGTCAGACAGAACACTAAATAAATATAAAAATAAAAATACAGCGCATTACTATAAGAATCATTCTTATATTAAAACCACCTACTTTCCTGTCTTCGAAGACGCTTTCCAGCGATCAAAATTTCTGTATTCGTCTACATCGTTCAAATAATTCTCACGTATTATTATTACTGTTATTATTATATCGCGTCGAGTAATAGTATGATTGATGGGTAATGAATTGGAAAAACCATGCCGTGGCCCATTTAAGACAGCGTTTCTGCATCTGCCACAAAACCTCCAAAGGCAGGATACAATATCTCAACGCCGACATTTGAACCCCGAGACCTACGGAATTCGAGCTGGAGAGGCGACCACTCGGTTGCGACGTTTGGCGTCGGCGTCGTATTTCCCACTCACCGTAACCTCCGTCATCTGACTGTGGTATCAACAGGTGAGACGTAAAAATTACAAATTACAAACCAAATATATTTAATTCACTATTTACTTCATATCTTTCGGACAATTTGTTAGTAAACACTTTTAGGTTATGTTATTCCCTCAAGATGACAGAGAACATCGTACCAAAATCATTCACAGAACACCGACAAAAAAGCTTTCGTAAGGCTTATCTTAATATAACACGTCTGGAACACTAGACGAGTCACAATATGAAAATAACATTTTAAGGCACTTACCGGTAAAAAAAAATATGATGGGTTTCGTGATAAAATTAACATATTCTGGTTATCATTACTCAGTCCAAAAATGATTATGCCGTCTGATTATCGCAACACCAAGGACACAACTGTTGAAAGCTCTTCTATATTGTCGTAGAACACGGTATTCTACTTTGAGGAAAGAATATAAATTACCAACGTTTTATTATTAAGGTATTTGCTTAAAATATTCGTATTACATAACGAAGAACGCCCTCGGTTATACAAGTCAACGAGCGACCTGTTGTTACGACACGCCAATGACAATAAACCTCTACGAAACCGACAGAGTAACATCAGAGATCGATTCCCGAGGTCAGCAGCGTGTTATATACGCTCTCCTGAATAAGACGAGAAGAGGACGGGAGTATGCAAATATTAAACTCAAAAGACGAAGTATATATTATACATTAAATCTTGTCCGTCTAATCACAATAAATTCTTATTAAAATATTACAATAATTAACATTTAAAATATTTAAAATATTAAATGATGTTCTTTATCGAAATATTCGATTTACATTAGACCATAATTTTTCATGTTTCACGACATGTTTCAGTTCCTAAAAGAACCATCCTCAGGTGTATATAATTATATAAAGCTTCAAAACGATAAATAATTTCAAATACAATTTTCATACATTATGCCAGCGTACATTTTTATCAG